GTTGAACATTTTTTTCATATATATGTTGATTGATTGTATATCATCTTTTGAGAAGTGTTTGTTCAGTTCCTTGGCCCATTTATTGATTGGGTTTTTTTTTGGGGGGGGTTAAGATTTATGAGATTTTTATATATCCCAGACATTAGTATTCTATCTGATGTGCAAGTGATAAAAATTTGCTCCCATTCTGTAAGTACTCTATTCAACTCATGAATTGTTTCTTTTGCCGAGAAGAAGCTTTTTTGTTTGAATCCATCCCATATATTGATCCTTGATTTTAATTCTTGTGCTATCGGAGTCTTATTAAGAAAGTCAGGGCCTGATCTGACATGATGGAAATTTGGGCTTACTGTATCTTCTGTTAGATGCAGGGTCTCTGGTTTAATTCCTAGGTCCTTGATCCATTTTGAGTTGAGTTTTGTGAATGATGAGAGAGAGGGGTTTAATTTCATTTTGTTGCATATGGATTTCCAGTTTTCCCAGCAACATTTGTTGAAGAGGCTATGTTTTCTCCAATATATGTTTTTGGCACCTTTGTCTAGTATAAGATAACTGTAATTTTGTTAGTTTGTCTCTGTGTCTTCTATTCTATATCATTGGTCTACAAGTCTATTTTGGTGCCAATTCCATGTCATTTTTGCTACTATAGCTCTGTAGTATAGTTTGTTCTGGTATAGTGATACTACTTGCTTCACTCTTCTTGCTAAGGTTCGCTTTACCTATTCTGGAACTCTTATTTTGCCAGATGAATTTCATGAGTGCTTTTTCTATTTCTTTTATTATTATTATTATTATTATTATTATTTTGGTTGTAGATGGACACAATATATTTATTTACTTATTTATTTATTTTAGAATGCAGGTTAGTATCTCTACTTTTTTGTATTTGCAAAGAGTTGGTTTATGGCATGATATATGGTCTATTGTAGAGAAGGATTCATGTGCTGCTGAGAAGAAAGTGTATTCTCTAGTTGATAGATAAAATATTCTATATATGTCAATTAAGTCTAATTTATCAGTTATTTTATTGAGTTCTATAGTTTTGTTTTACAGCTTTTGTTTGGAAGATCCATCCAGTAGTGAAAGAGGTGTGTTAAAGTCACCCAGAATTATGGTGTTGTGGTCTATTTCACTCTTGAACTTGGGAACAGTTTGTTTGATGAAGGTAGATGTTCCATTTTGGGGAGCATATATATTTAAATTGTTATGTCTTGTTGATATAAGTTTCACTTGAGCAGTATAAAATGTCCTTCTTTATCCCTTTTGATGTACTTTGACTTGAAGTCTACTTTAATTAATATGAAGGTGGAAACTCACACATATACATTTCTGTTACAAAACACAGTGGAAAAGAATTGTCAGGATTAAAAATTGCTGTGTTGTCTCTATGTTCATGGGGAAAAATAAGCTTTGAATTCTAATTTACAAGATATGCATGAACTGAATGCCTCTGGATTGCAAAATAGATTATAATAAATGTTGGCAATGATCTAGAACTACTGGGGCTTTATCCTTTCTTGATAGAGCTTAAATTGGTACAACCAGTTAGAAAATTGTCAGTATTATCTGCTAAACATCCTTCTACTCCCCAAGCCAGAAATTCTACCTCTTGTATATAATGCCCCCCTGCCCATGCACACATATATACAGTAAAAGACACTAAAAAGAGTGTTAACAGCACGATATTTTTAATAGAAAAAACTGAAGACAGTCTAAAATTCCCTTATATGATAGATTGTAAAATAAATTCCTCAGTATAAACATACATGGATACTATGAAGCAATAAAAAGAGTAAATTACTTGTACATACAACAAAGTGAATATGTCTCACTTATGCAATTTTGAGAAAAACACCTAGCACCAAAACTAGGCAATTTACAATTTCATTCATATAATGGTCAAAATGCTTAAAATAATTATTTGATGATAGAAATCAGACTAGTGATAACAGGAGCCATTTACTGGCTGGGCTAAGACTGAAGCTTTGGAGGTCTATTAATGTTCTGTATTATGATCCAGGTCATGATCTCATAAATGCATATAGTTCTATACTTGAAACATATGTACTGCATTGTAAGTATAAGGTCAACCCACATCTGTATCTAGCTACATTAATGAATAAGACCTGTACATACTGGTATAAAAATGATTCAGAATACATTTTAATAGGGGAAAGTACCAAATGATGTCTATAATATGTAATATCTGTGTAATAAAAATATATATTTGTTTTTATTTGTATTTGCAGAGAATAGATACATAAGATTATAACTGTGATTTGCTGTAGAATGTAGTGGAGTGGGCAGGGAACTGAGGTGAAAGGATACCCTCCATGTATATACTGTGATTTTGAACAAGGTTCATACATTCCCAATTTTAAAATATTCTTTCATACATACATGTTCCAAAAAGGAAAATAATATGTTTGTTTGCTTCATTGTTTCTCAAAATTGCTGAAATTCATAGCTTTCCCTTCCTCTTATAGAAAATATTACATCATTTGTAGAGAATAAATCTTCCATTCAGATCAGATCAATTGCATCCATGTTTTCATTTAATACATGTAAGTACTTTCTCAATGAGTTGTGTGTGTGTGGATGTGTTTGTGTGTGTGTGTGTGTGTGTGTGTGTGTGTGTGT